CTGCATCATCCAACTGTAGTGTAATAAATGGAGAACAGCTGAAAACAACACTGAAGAGGAGCTGCAAAATGTTCTTGCACAAAAGGAAGGAAAAGAAAATTTCCTAATTTAAGCTTAGAACCCGCTTCTTCTTCCTGAAGTACATAAAACTTCCAATGAAGTCAGTGAAAAATATTGAACAAATTAACAATGAATGTAGGGTCTGGCCCTACCACACTCCAAAAGGAGAACATTTCCCATTAAACTGAGGGAATCAAGGTGGCAGATGGAAGGACCTAAAAATCACAGGATTCATGGAAAAATAGACCTTTCCTTAAATCTTAGGCTTAAAAACATTTCTCAGAAGAATATGGTTTCAACTTCTAAGTAAGCATTTTCAAGCCAAACACAAGTGGGTTGGCTTACTTTAGGAAAACAAACAGGCCATTTTTTGTTGCAGTCACTGTGGGGCAGGGCACCTGGCATACCTGCCACTAAGAAGCCAGGCAATCTGCTGAGCCACCTGCAGGTGGGGTCAGGCCTAATTGGAAAGTCAGCTGACCCAGGGGCCAGCAGGCAAGGCTAGGTCTGATCAAGGGAGTCATCCAATGGCAAGGATGGGGTGCTGGAAAACCTCAGCTCCCACTGCTTTTTGGGTGGCCTCATAGAGGGGGAAGGCTAGGGAAGTACACCCTGACAGAAAAGTACTTACCAGGAAGACCGGCACTAAGTTAGTCCAGAAGCCCAGGGAGGAGCCAGGAAAGACTGGGATAGCATGGGTTGAGGCCCAGCAAGAGAGGCCTGAGCCACACAGTGAGGCCCAGCAAGTATAGTGGGACCAAAAGGGTCCAGCAAGAGACTGGGAATGGAGTGCAGGACCAGACAGGATGCAAGGTCCAAGGGCCTGGATAACGAGACACAGCAAGAGGGGCCTGAGGATTTATAGTGAGGCCCAGCAGGCATAGTGAGACCAGAGGGGTCCAGCAGTCCAGCGAGGGGCCAGGAACAGAGTGCAGGACCGGATGGGTCGAAGGGCCTAGAGAGCATCTGGGAAAAAGGAGAACAAAAATGGATCTAGGACTAGGAACTAAGAGAGAAGCTGACAGCCTGGAAAAAGGCCAGGAGGAAGACCAAGAGGTCTAAAGACAACCTGAGCGGGGCAGAGAAGGAAACCAAGGGGTCTGGCAGCTCAAGAAGGGGCTTTGCAAAGAGACAAAGATTTGAAGGTGAGAGCAGGGCAGAATACCCTGGGAATAGGGCATTTCAAACTTCTGCGTATCTAATGACAGTGCAACAGCTTACCTGGACTGTCCACTTGAGATGCTCCATTCCTCTCGCTGCCCAGTACTGCGTGATTTTGATTTGTCTTTGCACACAGGATCAGCATGTTTCGAGGTACGTTTGGCAGGAGGGGATATGTGGCTATCACTCAAACTAGCATCACTACCTTCATCTTTCTGAAAGAGAAAAAAGCATCAGACCATTTGATCAGTTCATTTTAGCAATTTCCTATAGAACATAAAAGACCTACTACTCACCTAAGAAAAAATCCAATTCATACCAGTATAGCAGTGCTTTCAAAAACTCATAGAAAACAGTGATGGAAAAAGACCTTGACCTCTAGTTCAGTGGTGCTCAATCTTTTTGCTGCACAGGCTGGATGGACAGTGCTTGGTCAATCCACTGGCTGGATTCCCCCTGGTAGGCCCAATCCAGTGGGTGCTGCAGGGCCAATCCGGCCGCCCAGTGGGGGACAGGGGGCCAATCCAGCCATAGGGGGAGAAGGTGCATGGCCTTCTCCTTTTCTGGCCACCTGTGGAAAGGGGGTGTGGCCCAGCCCCAATCCAGCTGTGCAGTGGGAAAGAGGTGCAGGACATGGGAATTTGGCAGCAGGCGAGGGGTGGTAGTATTAATTGCCACTGTTCCCCCACCACCAAATTTCCCAACCCATGGAGAGCCCCGCGAGCCAAATGCCATGGCTCAGTGGGCCATACTTGGCCTGCGGGTCAGGGGATGAGCAGCCTTGCTCTAGTCCACCCTCTATCCAAAGGCAGGAACCTAAAACATTCCTGACAGAGACCTGTCTACAACCTTCAGTAACTGAAATACCATAACTGTCTTAGGTAATACATTATATGTCCTTACAGTTTGAATGTAGACAATTTTCCCATCGTCTAATCTAAATTAACTTTGATGTTTGATAAATGCAGACACAATGAAGGTTAACTCACCAATAAAACAGGACCCGATGAGCTCAAAACACCTTTTATTTAACAATGCCTCTTCATAATGCCTGTGAACCAATTCTAAAGTTCTCCATAACCCATCCTACTCATAGACCATGAATAATTCTACTGCCTTTGCTGTATTTGAAACTCAAAATATCTATTTCCTCACCATGCTGTTCAAGTTTAAAAAAAAAAAAAATAGCAAGCATCCAAAGCAGTCATTACCAGAGAGTTTGAGCAATTTTTGGTTACCAGAGAGTTTGAGCAATTTTTGGTTTTGCATGTTCTGTTAAAAAAAAAAAAAAAAAAAAATTTAGTTACTGCAATTTATATATATATTGCAAAAGTCAATATATATATTGAAAAAGTCTTCCTGCTTTACCTCTTCTGACACCCACCGCTTAGTTTTCAAAAACTATCAAAAGGTTATTATTGCATACTACCAGAATACACAGAAAAGTGTTGGCTGTTCCATGAGGAAAATGTAAACTAGAGAGAGGCCAAGAGACCCCAACATAAGTGACAAGTACAGAAGATTTCTCATAATCTCCAAGTACTTCAAAACCTTTATCTTCTCAACACCTTCAAGAAATATGGCAGGACTGTTATTCTCATTTTACAAATAGGGAACTACAACAAACAGATATTAAATGACCTGCCCAAGGCCATGGAGGGACTCTAAAGCAGTGCAGAGACTTGAACCTATTATACAAAATACTAGATTAAGGTCCTAATCACAAAACCACTCTTTTGCTCTGTTTAATAAGACAACTGAGCTTTATACAGGTAACATCAATATTTTCCTTCTTCCAGATTTCAGGACTTCTCCTGAATCTTCACATAATAAATATGAATTGGTTCACATTTATTATGAACCAATGAGTCCAGGATATGATTGTAAACTGCAGCCGACTGGAGGGCCTGGTGGCAACATGGTAGGGGTACCAGTGGCAGGGTAGCTCCTATAAAATACCATAATATTGCAACCTCTAGAGTTAGGCGAATATAGGGTGCCTCAAAACCCTAGCCCTGACTGCCCTGTAGGTAACTCTTTGGTTGGAGAAAGGCTAAGGGACATCACCCTGACAGATAAGTGCCCTTGCCGAGGCATTAGGCAGTCAGCAGCAGCTCTAATCTGTTGCTTTCTGGCAAAAGCTACAACCTTCGAGGCACTGAGCATCTGGACTTGGTCTGGCCTTTGGACTCTGTCTCAATGGTCTTAAAAGGGGGATGGTAGGTCCAGGACAGCTTTCCCTCCTCCATACTCCTGCCTAAGCATACAAAGTGAAGGTCCTGGTGTGCTGGTTACACAGACCTCTTGTGCATACACTATGATCCAGAGGATTGATTGTTTGCAAGAGATAAAGAAGTTATTCTCCTTATTACATCTATAATAAAGTTTAGCTGTAGAACTACAAGAAGTTACAGTTTTCTCATCCATGAACTTCTGTTCTCCCAGTTCCAAGTATAACAACCCTGTCTTTGAGATTTTCAATAGACAATACTGCAATACTTGGCACTGGTGAGGCCACTCCTGGAGTCCTGTGACCAGTTTTGGGCGCCGCCCTACAAAAAGGATGTGGACAAGTTGGAGAGAATCCAGTGGAGGGCAATGAAAATGGTTAGGGAACTGGGGGACATGATTTATGAGGAGAGGCTGAGGGAACTGGGCTTATTTAGTCTGCAGAAGAAAAGACAGAGGGAATCTGATAGCAGCCTTTAACTGAAGGGTGGTTGTAAAGAGGATGGACCTCAGCTAGGGGTGGGCTAAATAGGGCCCGCGGGCTGTATCTGGCCTGCGGAGGGACTTTGTCCAGCCGACAATGGGTCCCTTGGTCCTGCCTGGTGCTGTCTGGCTCATGGCACGTCCTACCACCTCAGAGCATGGAGTGAGGCTGGGGCAGCTCTGCAGGTGAACTGCCCAAGCAGCAGTGGCTCCTTCTGCCTACCACCACCACTGGCCCCAGCCCCATGGTACAGGCAGGGACCCATGCACACAGCCCCAGCCTATACCCAGTCCGCCCCAACCAGAGCAGACCAGCTCCAAACCAGCCAGGACCCATGCACACAGCCTTGACCCTGGGCTGTCCCAAACCTGCTCCAGACTGCCTGCCCATGATAAGCAGCAGTGGCCGGGAAGAAGCCGATGCCTGGCACAGGGAAAAAGCAGCCCCTCCCCATTGCCACTGCCGGGCCCTTCTTGCAACAACCTCCTGGAGCCTGCACCAGGGCTGCCCTGTGGCTCTTCTCTGCAGCCATCACTGCCACCACCAGGATGCCAAGTGGGGCAGCTTTGGGAGTGGAGCCTCAGGAAAGCCTGGGCATGGGCTCCAAGCAGCTGGAACAAGGGCCTGGCAGCGGTGAGGGAGAGGTGGCCATTTTTCCCCCACACCCAGCAGCAGCTTCTGCCTGGCCACCATCGCAGCCACCACCGTTCATCAGCCACCCAGGGCGGGCCACGGAATCTCCAGAAAAAGTAGGTCCTTTGTTGATAAAACACAATAATCCAACCGTTTGCCTGAGAAGCAATTCTATATCATAAAGGAAGACATATGGCATGGCAACCCACATGGACTGTACAAGTGTCATTCATCAATTAGGTTCAAAATAATAATACCCCACAAAGAACAGCATTTAAATATCTGCATGCTATTCTTTTTCCTCCTTTGGAGAAACTCGTATCATAAAAACAATAGGTTAGCATCACCAAGGTGCTGCACTTCTATAACACGTATTATCTTTAATCTGATTTACGAGCGCATGAATTACTTTAGTCTCCATGCTCTCGGGAAGCATTCATAAAGACTGCAGGAGAAACCTTTTCATTGTCCATACTGGAACTAGCCAAAACAGAAGCGTAAAGAAAACGATGAGACAATTCCAGAGATCTGCAACTGGCAACATAAATAACCCCAGACATTCTGCCGGTGTAGAAAGAAAATAATAATAAAAGTTAGGATAGAGTAGATCACATCTTTTGGGTCACAGAGCAGCTGTCATCAGAACATGGATATACTAGACATGCCATATTGCAACAGGACATCCGATATCCTAGATGCCAGGGCTATCGGGCATAAAATGTAATTTTATTTCCATAAAAGCTGATGATGCATCTCCAATTTATCTTCTTGTTTTTATGCCTTGCTTGGAATGACAAACTGCTAATATACTCAAGGATAAGATGACTTAAAACACACTACGGTCTCTCAGGTATTGGGGAAAAGGGGAAAGTTGGTAGGCAGGTACAAATGAAAAGCAAATACTCCTGTTACTCACCTTAATGATAGTTTGCTGTTAATTCCACGCGTGTTTCTGCAACAGCACACCATTCTTAGCTGGGTTTTTTGTTCGATTCATAATTCAGTCTAAAGGTCAAGATTCCTGCTGATCACAGAACCAAGTAGCAAAAGCTGTCAAGGACATCAAGAGATTTACCCTCCAGAGTGATGTCAGGTATTGATTCTTCCACCTTGGTATATGATCACCATCTTCTTCTGACTGTCAACCCAAAGCTCTTGCCTGACCCTGAAAATCTGCCCAAGAGACTTTGCAGGGAAAATTCCCTGCAAGCAACCAAGACCACATCATCCGCAAACAAGAAATCTCTCAGAACCAGCTCTTTCACCTTGGTTTTTTGCTCTAAACCTTGCGATGTTGAACAAGCTTCCACCGAGTCCGATTCAAACATAAATGCCACCATTGCTGACATTAAATGCATGAAGAAGCAGGAATAAAACGTAGATATTAAAAAGCACAGGGGCTAAGACACACCACTGTGTCACCGCATTATTAGGGACCTACCCAAATCACAGTGGAAATTCGCAGCGCAGTGGTGCCTTTTATCTTACTTTTTGCTGCACCCTCCCCCTGCTGCTGAATGGCCAAGAGGCAAGTAATGCCACACTTTTTGCACCTCCGACACTTAGCTGGGGGGAGAGTAGAGAGGACAGAAGTACACAGCAAAAAGAGCGAGATTAAAGGCATAACTGCATTGTGAACTTCTGCTGCGATTTAGATAGGTTCCTACCCATTGCTAAGGTCAAAGGCATTTGGTTCTTTGTTTTCATCCACTACAGTTGCCTTCATAACTTGATGCAATGAGTGAACGATGTTCAACAGTTTGGGGAAAACAGCATAGTTTCTTCAGAACAGTAAAAGGCACAGTATGTTAACCATATTGAAGGTCTTCATGAGTTCGATGAAGGTCATGTTCAGTGGTATTCATTTTCATCTACACTTTTCTTGCAATTGCTTAGCCAAAAATGTATCAACAGTGGAGCATCCGAGTGAGCGAAAACTGCGCTGACTTTCAGGATAGATAGTTTCACCTAGAGACTGCAGCCTAGGAAATGACAACTTTTTCAGCGATGTCCAACAGGGAGATACCGCTATGATTCTCACAGCTGCTTCTATCCCCCTTGTTTTTATATAATTGTACAAACTGAGTGTCTTTGAAATCTTGCAGTACCACTTCCTCTTTCCAACAGAGAAGTATAACTTCATGGGGCTTTCGAAGTAATTCATTGCTGGCACATTTGTAGACTTCAGCAGGCAAGCAGTCGTTGCCAGACGCCTTGTTCCCAGGAGTCAATTTAATGGCTTTCTGCAAGTCTTCTAATGTAATCTTTGTCCAAATCCATGATAACTTTGAATTGTGGTAGTCCTTTGAACTATTAGGGTTTGATTTCAGTCTCCCTGGAGTATAAAATTCCATAGTGTTCAATCCAACGCTCGATTTTTTGTTTGTTTGGTTTTTTTAAAATCAGTGATGACACTTCCATTTAAGTCTTTCAACGGAGCTGTTTTCTTCTCGACTGGACCAACTGAATGATTACATCATATTCTGGCATGGGAAGCCAGCAGAAAAAGGAAAGCAGGTTTTGCTATTAGAAACAGCTTGTTGTCTTCCTGTGAAAGTCCCATTCCTGTATCTATTCAATTCATGACACTCAAGGTGTGTACACAACAGTTTCCTAACTTTCACACTAACAAAAAAGACAAGAATGTGTTCTACTAACAACTTGAGGAAGAGATTGAGAAAACTCACAAAAGTGAGACCATTATAATACTCTGCAACTTCAAAGCAGGAGTTGGATGTAATTTTGAGAACTGGAATGATATTCTGTGCAAATAAGAATTGGTAATATGAATGAAAATGGCCAGACCTCCATGAAGTCAAAATTTATGTTACCAACACCTATTTCACTGGGGGGAAAAAAATCACAAGAAAGACATTATGGAAACATCTAAGATCAGGGCACTGACTCCAATTAGATCTAGTATCGACTAAGCACAACCACCTGAAAGAAATCCTGCACACAAGGTCCCATTCACAGTGACACTCACCATGCCTTAGTCTGCTGTAAAGTCAGAATCAATGCCAAAAAGATCCACTGTGGCAAAAGTACCACTTGCCCCGAGACAGACATCAGGCAAACCAAAGGCATAGGAAGATGCAGACTATTCAATGAAGAAGTTGTGAAAGCAAGTTTACCTAACAACTCAGTCACTGAAGCTTTGGGAAGCTTCAAAATTCACTTTTCTTTTTTTGGGGTAGGGTTACAATGCTGTTGTAGCAGTGTTGGGGAAAAGATGCAAGGAAACTGCCAACAGGTTTGAAAAGCACTCTGAAACTCTTCTACCACTGGTTGAGAACAAAAGGACTGTACTAACCAGCTGGTAAAGCAAGCAAAACTCTGGCTTGCATCCATAGATACTTCTCAAGCAAATCCCAGGATGTCATCCTCCCACTGTACTCGGCCTTGGTGAGACCACAGCTCAAGTACTGCATCCAATTCTGTGCTTCACAATTTAAAAAGGGTGTGGAGAAGCTTGAGAGAGTCTAGAGGAGAGCCACATGCATGATCAGAGGGCAAGAGAGCAGGCCTTGTGATGAGAGGCTGAGAGCCACGGGACTCTTCAGCCTGGAAAAGCGCAGGCTCAGGGGGGACCTGGTGGCTGCCTATAAGTATATAAAGGGTGTACATCAGGATCTGAGGGGGAACGCCTGTTCACCAGAGCATCCCAAGGGATGACAAGGTCAAATGGTCACAAACTCCTCCAAGACTATTTCAGGCTAGACATAAGGAGGAACTTCTTTACTGTCCAAGCCCCCAAGGCCTGGAACAGACTGCCTCCAGAGGTGGTGCAAGCACTTACTCCGGACTCCTTTAAGAGACATTTGGACGTTTATCCTGCTGGGATACTTTGACCCCAGCTGACTTCCCTGCCCCTGGGGCAGGGGGCTGGACTTGATCTTGCAAGGTCCCTTCCAGCCCTAATGTTTATGAAATCTATGAACCATTTATAAGAAATCTCCCAACACCATAATCCTGGAAAATTTTAGAAAGACTGAAAGAGAAATGCAAAAGGAGGCTAGGAGATGCACCCAAGATTTTTGGGTAAAACTCTGTGATAATATTCACAAAACAGTTGACACAGGTGATAGCCATGGGCCGTACAAGGGTATCTAATGAGCAACTGGTCCTACTGCTGTAAAGGTTGTTAAAATACACTAAAGAGGCCCAATTCTAACTAGCCTAATACTGAATGAAAATACTCCTTACTCAAAATAAGGAGAATTAGTTATTTTTCAGAAATAACTAAATCAACAACTTAAATAAATTATTTTGCAGAAATAACTCATTAAAATGTTAAGTATGCATAATATATCCAACACTGAAGAATGTAATCGTAGAAAATTAACACAAAGAGACTTTTACAGCAAAATTATTTGAAACTTCAGAAATCAGTACTAGAGCTTCCCAAACATGAAATAGCCAAGCATGGTATAAAGCAGAAGTGTCAAACATACGGCCCACCCAAGGGCTGGATCTGGCCTGTGGAGCCTCTGTAAGGCTACTAGAAGTTGAGGCCATGGCTATACAGGATTGTGACTTGCTACAGAACGCAGAGCCTCTGAGGTCTCCTAGACACGGTCCTGCCATCACTTGCCGTGGACCAACACCACCAAAGGTCCCAAACCAACCACATATTCCAATCCCACAAATCTGGCCCAGAAAGAGTCCCAAAGTCTAGATCCAGCCCAGGACTCAGAATTAGTTGGACACACCTAGCACAAAATTAAAATGTCCATCGCCCACTAAGTTCTTCACCAAATTCTGCACCTTAAACATATTACACATTTACATAGTTGCAATAATACATTATAATCCACATCTGTACACAGGAGACATACCAAAAGGTATGTTCTCTGCTTTCACCTAAAGCAGATACCTCAGGCAAGTCGATCTCGAACACTTCCTTTTTAAAATATCAAGAGTTATGCTGCGTAGCACAGGAGAGTTTCAAGGTAAGCTGCAAAACTGGTTTTAAAACTGGCCAGAGTAGTTAAAGAGAACAATGCAATGCTGCCTAAGGGGATTCAGTATCATGCTGAAGTGAACAAAACAACACATAACTATGAAAAGGTGTTTTTTTAATTTAACATAGGCTACAATAATTTGGAGGTGGTCTTTTATTATTTCTAGACTGTTATTCCCTAAACTATTTTAAATGAATCTTTAAAAAATCCCAGCAACTATCCACATATCAATCTTCTGCCTGTTTAAACTGGAGTCTATGCAAATAATTTGGTGAGATGTGTGCAACTTGACTTTGAGACACTGAAGCTTAATCCAAACACAAGTGCCAGCAAAGCCTGAACTCTCTTTGGTACAAACGATCTAGAGACCTTTCCTCAGCTTGAAAGAATGTGGAATTTACCTTGATTTCCACAGAGGAAATTTAAAAACTTTTCAATATAAAATTGTAGTTTAATTTGCCAAATAGTAGATGCCCCCCAAGAAACCCTCTACTGAATCAAATCCCATCTAGACCACTGATTACCATTAGGTCTTCCATACGTCGACCTATGCTACTTTGCGAGCCTGCTAGAAAAGAAAGATGGAGAGAGACAAAGATAACTAATCCGAGTGAGGTGGGCCAAAGAAAGATTAATTCCAAGATCAAGCGGCCCTCAAAGAGTACAAAAATCTCCATTTAATTCATAGCCCAGAATCTACAGTCACTCCCTTGAAGGTAACCATGCTCCAAAGTAACTGAATTCCAAGTATTCTACATTCCTTGTTTGACAGAGCAGGAAAGAGTGCCGGGCCAACAAAGCACCAAGCACAGATATAGGCATTAAAATGCAAAACTGAAAAACTCAGCATTGAAATAGTAAGAACTGGTGAACTGAACAGCCTCACAGCTACCCATGGAAACTTAAGCATTGAAGCAAATAGTAACAGAGCTGTCACCAGAATGCACACAATACCAACTAAAATACTGTGGTAGTACCAACGCATTGGTTGAAATAGTACTGAAGTCATACAGTACCAGGACCAAGAGCTATCATTTAAAATGCCAAGGCAAGTGTCAGGCCACGGAGAAAATATAAGCATTGAAACACCAAGAAAACAAGCTCTAAAGAATCTGGATGCACCTGAGGTTCAAAGGTGCTGTACAGCTCTACTGGAAGGAAGAGTCCAGTGATCTTTACTATGATCCATATCTGCTGCAACAGTGTTGGTTCACAGACATATGGGCCTTTGCTGATAGTTCCTTACTTTCAGTTAATAAAGGAGCTAACTAAAAATCAGAGTAGCATGACCACTCCAGATAAAGGGAGCCGTAAAAGTTTTGCTCTTTACTACTGTACTCAAGAGTAAAATGAAACTTGACTGATAAGAAGCCCTGATCATCTCATGCTCAGGAGCTAAGTCCCAGCAAACAGACTTGTGTAGAGATGATGGTCCAAACTCTCAGCTAATATAACACCACTGAAGGCAATAAAGTAATGGTAGCAAAGAATCTGAGTGTAAAACAGGTCTCCAGGTTTATAATGTATTATTGCTGCTTTGGTATAAGGGAGGAAGAAAATGAAAGAAAGCTGAACTTGCACTATTTTTATAAACATGCATAGTTAGAGCATTCTAGCCTATCAGCTGTCAAGTTAAAGCACAGAAAGCCAGCCACTAACACTGTGATTCTCAGCCAGGGTGTCTTGAGATCCTTTCAAGAGTGGCATGTAATGTTAGTACTCTGAGGTGTGCAAATGATTCACAAGACAAACCCAGAGATTCCAAATAGGAATCCAGAGCATTAAAAACATTCTGACCTATTGTAGTCTATGTTCTTTGCAACAAAAGAAATAATTCTTCAAAAAAATGAGTGAAAGCTAAGAGCTGGCATTTTCTGAGGGGTGCCTCGAGTCTAAAAAAGGTTGAGAACCACCATCCTAGCACTTATTGGCAAGATTAAACATTAAAGGACTCTTGATAACAAGAAAGGTACAACCCGCCTAACCAAGAGAAAAATAAATAAAGCTCTCAAGACTACATTTGGTATATGGCCATCCAGTAGCAAACCAAGAATCCCATACCTTTACTGATTAAGTGTGGTAATAAAGGGAAGGTAGGTGACTCCCTCAAACATGGACATAGGTGCTGCCCTGAACATTTTTTTTCTGGTTGCTCCCCCACTCATTTTCCATTTTACCTAGACTGCACTACAACCACAAATTCACCCTGACCATACAATCTATATCTAGACATGAAAGATCAACTAGTTTCTAGTAAATGCAAAGGATCATGAATTTAAAGATCATCATTAACACAGATAATGAGTCACAAATGAAAACAAACCTTGACAACGCTAATCAAAACAAAGAGCAGCTCAACAGCTCACAAAATCAGGGATGGAGCACTGCAG